AGGTGGAAGCTGAAAGGGCCTCTAGGAGGAAGGAAGCAGTACAGTCAGGGTGATGGTGATCTGGTTGTACCAACAGCAATCAGTTTCTTTTGACAGATGTCTTAGGAGAAGAAGTGAGCAAACCTTATGTGTTTGGTCTAGTTTAGGCTTCTTTTGCACAATTGGCGTGTGCTGTTTTGAGTAGGCCCAGGGCTGGAATAGCAGGTTTATTGCAACAGGATTGAGTTGCACTGATGGAATTACCTATTGTTTTCTCAATGACAAGTGGCTGCTCTGGCAGTTCGCTTGTATTCATCACCCTCAATATGCATTAATCATAGAATCACAGAATGGTTTGGGTTGGAAGGGACCTTAAAGACCATCCAGTTCCAACCCCCCTGCCATGGGCAGGGACCCCTTCCACTAGACCAGGTTGCTCAAAGCCTCATCCAGCCTGGCCTTGAACACTTCCAGGGATGGGGCATCCACAGCTTCTCTGGGCAACCTGTGCCAGTGCCTCACCACCCTCTCTGGGAAGCACTTCTTCCTGATATCCAATCTAAACCTCCCCACTTTCAATTTAAACCTGTTACCCCTTGTCCTGTCACTACAGGCCCTTGTAAAAAGTCCCCCCCAGCTTCCTTGTAGCCCCTTCAGGTACTGGAAGGGGCTCTAAGGTCTCCCCGGAGCCTTCTCTTCTCCAGGCTGAACTGCTTTAAGACTGTTGAAATACTAGTAAAATGTAAGCCACTCTCCCCCTTTATGTGCACGTTTGACTACTACAGGAAAAAGAGGGGTTTGGGTGTGTTGGTGTTTTTTTTTTTTTTAGAGTATTAAGTAAACAGTGAAAAACTTTGTCTCTTTGTAGTTGGATGTATGAAGTCTGAGTTCCCTGAATACTGCAAATATCATGGTTCTTCACTTTATGAATGTGACATTGTAGTTGTGGGGTGAAAATGCAGAATAATGATGGGGACCCCCTTATCCCCAGGACTTCAAGGTTGTTCTTTTCCGTGAACCTGTTCTAGTATCCTAAAGCTCTTCATCTTTCTCTCATAATCTACTTTACTGTTTCCCCCCCATCCTGGCTTCTGCTTTGGTAAAGGTAGGAGTAACATGGTCCGTGAGGCAGAAGTAAACAGAACGTAGAACAGCGTGCTCTCCCTGTAGGGGTTGCATCTTGCAGTGCTCCTAGCTCAGGCTGGCGTGAGGGGTCTTAAACTGTATTAGTGTTGCTTTGACAGGCCCTGTATTAATGTGAAGCAGAGTAAGCACCTTGGAGTGGTGTTTGTTTCCATCATCCTGAGCAAAATGAGGGTCTGGCATTACTTTTAAAGCTTCAAGACCTGACAGTGGTCCTTGACACTGGTTTTCTCTACATTCTTGTCCAAGTAGTGTGGTGTCCTGTTCGCTCTGCCTGTTGGTCTCCGTGGCAGCTGTTTTGATTTCCCGTAGATGTGACCTAGCATAGGGGGTTGTGTTGCATGTGACACTCAGTTTGGGGATCGGTATTTGGGGAGACATATTTCACGTGAGTATATTTTGTTGTGTAACCGTTGTTGTGTTTGGCTTGAGGGTTAAAAAAAAAAATATATATACACACACAGGTGTTGTGCATCGTTCAAAGTCCCTGTAAAAGTTTTAAAGTTTCTGGTTTCCTCTCTTGTGCGTTATTAATTTTACTTTTTTTCCCTCCCTCCCCAGTTTTTAAGGGGTAAAGGATCTGCAGCAATAGTTCCAGTTTAATTTCTAGCCAGGCTGTGGTGATGGCAAATTGTCATGATCAGGCAGCAGGTGGCCATGCTTATGTGTGTTTTGTAGTGGGTGGATGTTTATACTGCAAGCAATACTTTTGTGAGGCACCCATTACTGAATGGCCAATAATCTCATCAGCAGGGAGAAAGTAACCTTGCTGTGACCTGCTCTGGAGTTACCATCATAATAGCTTCTAGCTTATTGTGCTGCTAGCTCAGCCCCTCTTAAATGCAGTACTGTATTTTTACATGCAAATGCATTTGTAATTGGAGATGGTTTTTCTAAGCCTGATGTAAAGAGTTTTAACTGTTCTGTAATTCTAAGTAAGTCTTTCCCCCCCTCTTTTTTTTCTTTTTTCTCATTTACTACTGCTGTTTGTTTGTTATTCAGGGAACTGCAGTAGTTCAGGGAAACCTGGCCACCTGACTACAGTCAGCAACACCACAGGGTGAATGAGCTATGGGGTTGTGGGTATGGAGCATAGGTTGGGCCAAACATCTGTTCTTCTCCTCTGTGTTTTTCCTAGTGCAGTGAAAGTCTTATCCAGAGCACACTCTGCCTGTGATTCCATGCATCAGCTGTGTTCTTTATTTTCTTCCTCATAGTGTCCTCCAAATTCATTGTGGTAATGGCTCTTGTGTAGCCCACCACAAATCCAACAGTAGTAGAAAGAAGCAGGGGACTCAGGTACATGCAACTGCTGTTCTTCCAGTGGCTAGTGGTGGTGTCTTTCGCACTGCTGTGTAAGTCCAAGGCATTGTCATACTTTTCCTTAGCTGTATGCCATTAGGCAGGAAATACTTGGCCATTTTTATTGTTGTAGGCTGCTTGGCTGTTCTGCACAGGAAGATTTCCAAGGAAAGTAGTCAAGGACTTTCCAGTCTTTCTCCTGTTCCTTATTAGTTCTCATAACAAAGAATGTCTCTCTGGTGAAATGGCTGTAGTCGAAATGCAATGTTGTGTGAGAGAGTGTGATGGTGAAACTAGTTGGTTTTTACTAACACGGAGCTCTGCCATGAAAGCAGCTAAAAGATAAGAAATTCTGTCTTGCTAGGGTGCTATAAAACAAGAACTGTAAAGAAAAGGACGATGGTTGCCATGCCTGTGCGGCTGAGGTCTCCAGCAGCGTGATGTGCTCAGAGGAAAGCCTTACTAACTGTGCTGTGAGGAGATTTAGGAAGCCTGTGAGGAAATTGAGGAAGCCTGTGTGCCTCAGTGCAGGCTGAAGGAGTTGGGGAGCATAGCAATGTGTTTTTACCAAATCCCTTTCTCAGCATCTCTGTCTTCAAGGCATAAAACCTGGCAGAACTGAGCACAGAGTACCAGTTCACCGTGATGTGCAGGCAACCTTCTTACTATAAATCTAACATACTTCGAGGGCTGCATATGAAAATCTTCCACCCTTTACCCCCAATGCACTTACTGAGTGTGTCTGGTGGGGATTGCTGAGCTTTCGTCAAGAAATGGAGGAAAAGGAGTTTGGAGCATCACTGGTCTCCGCTGTAGCATTTCATCTGCCTGTGGCAGAACCTTGTGCAGTCACTTAAATGTAAGGTCTTCACTCAAGATGCCCACAATGCAAGTTTACCTCTCTCTTAGGTGCAGGAAGAGGCTGTGTAGTTCCCACCAATCATCATCTGTGAGCAAGCAGAAATTACATTGGGGTAAGGGCAGAAGAGGACAGATCACTTAAGTTCGGTTCCCAGGTCTTTTGGACTTCCTTACTTCCCCCAACCTTGGTCCAAATTAGACACAAATGGATTGGTGTGTTCTGCAGGCATGGTCTTTCCACTCAGATGCCTGGAGGCAGACATGGCAGACAAAGGATAATGCCTTTCCCTCTCCCCCCTTCCTGTCCGCTGTAGGAAGATACCTAGCAATCTATTAGCTTGGGTATTTATTTCCTTACAGACCTGATAGGAGAGGCCTCAAACCAACTTCTGGGTGAATTCATGCGATCTCATGGGAAAACTAAAGATTGTAGCAGTTAGCATTCTTTCCCATAAGAATGGATCCATAAAGAACTGAAGGACTGTAGTAGTTAGTATTCTTCCTATGGGCTGCGCCCTGGACCCTAGCCAGGCCCTGGCACATCTGGCAGGAATGGATACACGAACTGTCAACACACCAGATAATTCCGGGTTCGTAGTCAGGTAGATTGTTTGTTAGGCTGTGTAAAAGCAGGATCCTCTCGAGCGAAGATGGAGCCTCACCTTTGGGTGGATGCACCGCATAGGACTTCCCAATTGCCTTGACGGTTTTCCAATCCTTCGCTGTGACGGGACTCCCCAGCTGATGCACAGATCCGGGTGATGGTAAAGTATTAGGGCAATTGGTGATATATATGAACCTTAATCACTATAGCCAACTTCATGTTATGTGTGAACCTGATCATTACTACATAATGATCACGTTCATTACCTTGCTTATTCTTTCTGCTGCTTTAAACTAGAGTAAAATAAGCTTATCTTTTTAAGTTGGTGTCTGTTTCCTTTCTGTTGACCCCATCAGTTGGCAAAAAAAGAGCAAGTGCTGTTTTTTAATGACTTCACCTTAGAAATGAAAGATTGAGAGAGGTGAATTTTGCACAGAAATCCCTGAGAAATCTGTGGAGTGTGCTTGTGGAGGGGACGTAACTGGTACTAATGCAATGTATCTCTCCGGTCTCTCTGTACTGCCTTGCTCACTCAATGAATCTGCTTCTCCTTTTGAAATAATAGGTTTGCTGCTGGCTTTGGAAACAAAGACTGAAGTTTCTGGTGTCAGAATTTCTAGGCTCAGTTCACAGGAATGTTGTAATAAGGCTGTCAGGTACTCCTGCAATGCAATATTGACTGATGTGCATCTAGATTTGGCTGGTGACTTTCTCCACCTTGGCCTTTTAGTTACCTGCTACTGTTAAGATCTCCTTTTCAGGTGCTCAGATAGGATGAAAGAATGAAAGTAACTGAGTGCAACACCTGTCATCTTTGAGATGTTTTATATGTCTTCATGTTTTGTTTTTTTTTTTTTCCCACCCCAGGTTTGGAAGGCGTTTTGAATCCCCTCTTTTGTGGCAAAGCATTATCATGATCATTACTATGTTACTGATGCTGAAACTGTGCACTGAAGTACGTGTGTCCAACGAGCTAAACATAAAACGCCGCTCTTTTGCAGGTTAGTGAAAGGAACTGGCTTTTGCTGGATGAATCCTTCTGAAAGCATGGTGTACTGTATTTCAGACAAAAGTTCTGCCTGAATTGCCATTCAGTCTCCCTTCCTGATAATTCACTGTAACGCTTCCCGAACTTCTTTTTTGAAACTACTCTTTTCCAGATAAGTATGTAAAGCTGTAGCTTTCATTCTGATGGGTGTTTGTTCAGTCCGGAAGTCAGAGTTTTCCTTAGTATTTCGTACCACCCTCTGAATATAGACCTGGCTGTTGTGCTAGCCTGGATTTTTTAATATCTTAGCCAGAATAAGAATTTACTTCCTTCAGCTGTACTTTCTACCAAGTTCTTAGGTGTGATCATACCTTATTATCTGAAATTTTACTTTGCAACTGCCAACACTTGCTTTCATACATAATTTTTTTTACACTTCCTGTGTTATTGGCTGTCAAAATAGGAGCTGCTGTCATATCAGAGTTGCAAAACTCTTTCTGTATGCAGTTTCCCGGGGCTTTAGTGTGGGATTAGTTGGGCTCTATGGCAATTTGCACATATTTTGGTTATTTGTTAATTTTTAGGCATTGATAATTTCAGTCAGGGCCAGAGTATTATTCTTTATTTAATGGAATGTTCAAGCTTTGTGGAAAGTCCCCATTTTTTTTTTCCAGATAAGAAATGTGAGAGGGGTGGGTTTTGTGTTTCTCTGTTGACTTTGACCTGCAACATTTTATGTTACAGCTTATTACCAACAAGGATAGAATTAATGCCGTCAGCTTTTTGTCAGTTGTTTTGCCAATATGGATGTATAATTTATGCTCTCCATCTGTTCACTTCCCTCACTCCCTAATAATTGAGGGTCTGATCGAGTTCTAGATATCCACAGCCATGGTTAGATGGCTGCACAGCAGGGTGTTTATCTAAGGAACCTACTTCCATCCCCGCTCATTGCGGAGTGTAGTGTGAAACCATTCAGGTAAGTGAATTCATGTGGAGCGGTATCCTGGCTCCAGATACAAGCTACTGTGTTCACAAGGGTTGTTAGACTGGCAGGAAGAGATGACTTAAAAACTGCTTTCAGCCAGATTTAGCAGCAGTTAAAATCCAGGAAGCATTTGGGAGGGGCATGTGTGCTTTCTCCCTCCTTTGCTCTCTATGCTGGCATTGGTGAAGTGGCAGAAAGGTTTCTCTGCCCTTTCTGAGGGGAAGTTATCCTCGTGCACACTTACACACACACTTGTGCGCTCTCTCACACACTCTTGCCCTCTTTAAACAGCTCTCCCTGAAAAGACATACGGTCTCCTAAAGGATAATCAGTCTTTCCCTTACTGGGTAATGGAAACTCCACAAGGTTGCATTGTTTTATTTGATACGTTTTCCTGAAACTCAGCTTGTCGCATGTTTAATTAGTTAGAGACACTGATTTTTACCTGCTTGTGGACCTCAATTATTTGTTTGCATTGAAAGACTTGCATCCTCCCACAAACTTTGAGAACAGCTAAAATCTTTTTCTTACCTGTGATTGATTTTCAGTGAGGCCAGCTATAATGTGATGGCTCAGAATGAACATCCTACAAAGTTCGTGTCAAACAAGACAGATGGATAGGTTTTTATTTCAAGTGCAATATCCTTGTTTCTAATCCTACTCCTAATCTTATCTTTGAAGTTTTAGAGTGCTCTAGGCAAACAGATAAATCTCTGTGCTTACTTCTTTTCCTCATACCTTACTAGGACAGTGAGAAGCTAGGTTTGAAGTCAGTGTTTTTGATCAACCTTGCAGATTCCTGAGGTGAAGGTGCAAAATTTCTGTATGCTAATATAATTAGTTATTTCTTGTATGGCTGGCCTTCAATTTAAGCATTGTTCTTCGTTAATTTCTATCCTCCCTCTGAATGTTTCTGCAAAAGAATCCAAAATATTTAGAAAGCAGATTGAATACAGTATTTCAGTGGAAGAGGGTTTGCTGTTTTCTTGTACTGGTATTAGATGCAGTATTTCCCCCCTAGTCACATTAGTATATGTTTACCAGTGTGTTTTGAATTATGTGGGAGGTTTTTTGTTTTCTTTTTTATTATTCTCACACATAAGGTTCCTTAAGATATAACTAGTTCAGAATGAATCTACTTAAAATTTCTTGAAGCATTAAGGAGCAGCTTTTCCTAATTCTGACAAGCTTGTTCTGTGTTCTCTAGCCTGTTGTGTGGTGTTACTGGGTCTGTCATGGTTGATGCCCAGCTGGCAGCTAAGCACCAGGCAGCTGCTCACTCCTGCCACGGTGGGATGGGGATGAGAAAATACCAGGAAAGGCTCGTGGGTCAAGGCAAGGACAGAGAGGGATTGCTCTCCTGTTATGGTCATAGGCAAAACAGACTTGACTTGGGGAAGAAAAATCAATTTCATTTGGTACCAGTCAATTCACAGTTGGGCAATGAGAGATGAAACCAGCTCTTAAAAACACCTGTCCCCCAGCCCTTCCTTTTCCTGGGCTCAGCTTTGCTCCCCTTTTCTTTCTCTCCTCCCTCCTGAGTGGAGCAGGGGGATGGAGAATGTGGGTTGTGGTTGGTCCATCAGAGGTTGTCTCTGCCGCTCCTTCCTCCTCAGGAGACTGCTCTTCAAACTCTGTCCCTGCTCCAGTGTGGGGTACATCCCATGGGAGACGGTCTTCCACGAATTTCTCTGACATGAGCCCTTCCCACGGGCTGCAGTTCTTCACAAACTGCTCCTACGTGGGACCCTTCCATGGGGTGCAGTCTTTCAGGAGCAGCCTGCTCCAGTGTGGGCTTCCAATGGAGTCACGGGCTCCTTCGAGCACACCACCCTGCTCGAGTCCTTCCCAGGCTGCAGGGGGGTCTCTGCTCCTCTGTGACCCTCCATGTGGGCAGGGGCACAGCCTGCCCTCTCACCACGGGCTGCAGGGGAACCTCTGCTCTGGCCCACCTTCTTCCCCTGTTTTCTTCACTGACCTGGGTGTCTGCTGCCTTTTCTTTCTCACATCCCGCTCCTCTCTTCTTTTGGAGGTCTCTTTGCTTTTCCCTCTTAAATATGTTGATCACAGAGACTCTAATTGGCTCAGCCATGGCCAGAGGCAGGTCCAGCTTGGAGCCTTGGGAGCTTCTAGCAGCTTCTCACTGGAGCCATCCCTGCTGCCAAAACCCCTGCCGCGCAAACCCAACACAGGGTTAAAATACGTATCAGTTGTAATTCAGGATGTAGACATAAAGTCATTCAGTTGAAATGCTTGTACTTTCATTTTTAGGGTAACTATCATAGCATGAAAAATACAGTCTCCCTGGACTCTTTCCAGTAATGTTTATTTCTTGCATATATAGGAACTTACTAGGAAAACTTGCATAATCTTTTTCTTTTTTTTTCCTCTCCTTACTCATGGCAGTCTTAGTCTTGCAAAGTGAAAGTAAGTTGGAAGTGGCAAAGCCACTCTGCTGCCTTCTCTGACTTTTTGTTCTGGATACATAAACTTTATCCTTCAATTACAGGTTCTGATTAAAGACAGAATAAGTCTTCTTTATGTATCCAACTGTTTGAACAAAAAACCCCGACTTTTTTTTAAAACCTCCACTGATAGGTCAGTTCTCTCTCCTGCATATGAATACTTTGAATGCTGATGTGAAGGAGTCGGCAGCAGACATGAACAATACTTCCTCATCTTCTATCCTTTATTTAACATCACTTTAATTACATCTTGACTGCTTTAATGCAGATCTTCTGATACCACTGTTGTGGTAACATTAGCTGTCCTTATTCATCACCCACATTTAAATTGGTGTCTGTGCAGCTCATACGTGTTGTGGTTTAACCCCAACTGGCAACTGAGCACCACATTCCCCCGGGGGGGATGGGGAAGAGAACTGGAAGAGTAAGGGGGGATGGGGAAGAGAATTGGAAGAGTAACGGTGAGAAAACTTGTGACTTGAGATAAAGACAATTTAATACATAAAGCAAAACAAGGAATTCATTCACCACTTCCCATTGGCAGGCAAGTGTTCTTTTGTTATAGTTGTTTTTGTTTAAAATGCTGTAGTATTTCTGGGGCATGATGGTGCTAATGTGCTAGAGAGCTGAATATTGAAAAGCAAAATGTGCACGTGCCCTGTCTTGACTCGAGACTCAAGAGGAACTCCTGGAGAGGGTCCTGCGCAGGGCCACTAAGATGA